TATTCTACACTAGTTCCGGTAAAGGAGACAAGATTGGAATGATCAAGCTGTTCTTGGGCGTTTGTTTGCCCAAACAGATTTTTTGTGTTAAAATTGCTTAGATGATTCATTAATTCAGCTTTCTACCAGTACAATGTTATCGTACATTTGAAATTGCTCAGAGAATCTCTCCTAATTATGAAAAATGATTCTTATAACATTTCCTTGCCAGAAGTCGACTTGCAAGAGATTTGATATCTTTCAGTTTGTCCAATGAGCATCTTTATTCCACTGGCAAATGTAAGCATGTTTCAAAATCTACAGTCCAGAATTTGTGGCAAAATGACATGTGAGAGGAATTTTTTTTTTACTTGAGTACCGGTAAATCTTTTATTCACTGGATTCTAACGCCCCCCCCCCAAGTCAAATCAACTAAATTAATTCTCTATTCTACCTGGATTAAGTAATTTATGACGGTTGTTGTATGAGGGCGCTCATTTCTGCAACATCGTTTGGTCTGTATGCTATATATGTAAAGATTCAGTGTTCCCAGAATTGTCTCATTTACATTTCTCTCTTTGGTGTATTTAACTTGAGGGCGCTGACCAGTAGAAACTCTGGGGTAGTAATTTGAGGATATGGGTGTGCAAAACAAAATATATAGGGAAATATACAGGCATTTTAATTTCAGTGCGAATGGGGCAGCTGAGGAAATCCTCTGTTGGTGAGCAGCAGAAGCTTTGAAACATAAAATAAATTTCTCTGTATTGCTCAGTCTACTGTCTCATAATTGTGCACCCACTAACAACTAACATAGAAACAAAACCTCCCTACTTAATTGTCCTGTCATTTTGTTTCATGTACTAGTATGTTTGTTACTTATTCACAAATGTTTTTAAACATTTGCTGTGAAATGCCAAAAACTTGTCTTGTCATATTTAATTATAATTATTATATCATCATAATTTTATTTTATCCAGTAATGGCCCAAACATGGAATCAAGGTCCATCTGATGTCCAGGTACTTGAAGGTGATGATGTGACATTTAAATGTAAACTTGATGGTGATGTAACGGCAGGGCTTGAACCAAGATGGGAGAGAATAATATCGGGGACAACTGAATCAACCCTTATAGCTACTAATACAGCTGGTTGTAACCTTGATAACTGTGAATATGTTATTGATAGTGTGAGTATATCATTTTCCATAGCGTTGACACTTGTGTGTGCCTGATTTGCAATGGTATTTGGAAATGGAATGTATTCGGTCCGACACATTTTTGAATCATGGTAATCCGATAAAGGACACAACAAAACTGGTGATCATTTTTATTACAAGATGAAAAAGCGAGAATAACTAAACTAACCTTGCTATGAATTGAGCTATCATCAACGATCATAGCACTACATCACCTGCTTCAGTCAAAAAGAGGGTGCACTTAAAACACTTTTGAATAAAAATATGTCTGTAGCACCATATATTGTAATTTTAGTTTGGTACACAATAAGACTTCTTGTAATTTTATGTTATATCGTCTATACCAGTGATCCCAACATCACTCATATTCAAAATGAACACGTCGTAATAAATATTGTAGAACACGTAACTGCTTTACGGTTTACACAGTCCATCTAGCTCTTCATAATGACACACACTGAGACATTATGGACAACTGTGCATTAAAAACAAATACTGTGTAGTGTTGAACGCATGAATTCTTATTGCAATCACATACGTTTATACCTCAACGCCACCTTCAATGCCCATATCCGTCTTAATGTTAGACTTTCGACAGTCGTTGAGGCACTCGCGTTCCAGTAGTCTCCAGTATTCATTCAGCACTCACGGTGCTCTGGCAGACACGAAATTCTGTATTTAAGACGACTGTTTGCAAATGAAATCTCCCAAATGGAATCACAATAATTATGTTCTATAGTATTCACGCATTGAGCTGTGATTATACCTCATGGTATGTAGAAGGAACGTTTTGTTATTCACTTTGGTTTAGTATACTATAGTTGTACACGTTGCAGTTTGTTTCAGCAGTGTAGCCATGCAAGTCGCAAGTTTCACAGTGAACTAATCACTCAATATGGAATAATTTACATTATTTCTGTTAAGACTGTTACATTAATTTTTAAATATATCATATTTATAATAAAAAACGCATTTACGTGGTTAAAGAAGTTTAATCATCCAATGTCTACAAAAGTTTCAGTCTGATATAGTACAATAAGTTAATATAACTTTGATATGACTTACTTCAATCAAAACACCAGTTGATGGCGTAACTATACGTTCATTCTTAGGATTGGCTTTGAAACGTATATACCGGTGGATTATATATTTTCATTGACACATACCGTGTTCACCTTTGTTTTGTGTGTCCCTTAAGCTGACGCCACTTGATGTACACTACAATGAGTAGGGGGACTCCCGAATGCATGAAAGTTCAAACTTATAAACTCGGTAGCACGTGTTCTTAAATTGAGGCGCAAATAAGTGCATTAATCTGATTAGCTAGATGATGGGTTCTCTCAGGTTCGCCATGCAACTACGATTTGACGCGAAAAAAAAATTGTTTCACATAGGATTATTATATAATATACATACTATGTGCCGTGGATTGACGTGGACGAGTTTCACGCTCTCTAAACGTAATAAACTTTGTTATTACCAAGGGATTCGCGGTGGCCCTGTGGAAGACCTGTCGTGATGTGAATTACTTCCCAGTACTTATTTATAGTTTTTATGATGTTTCTGGCCTGGGCGTAAGGTTAAATGGTAAATTAACGGTACTTCAAACAGTGCCATTATTCTTTTGCATAAACAGAGTGTATGAGATATTCAAGTGTGTCCTTTCTCTTGCGAGCATACGACGAGCTGAGGGATTTTGTTCCGCCATATTTTAGTTTGCAGATGTTCTGCTCTGGGAGCGGGAAAATAATATGAAATAAAGTCAAATTATTTTGCACTGTAATAAAAGTAGAAACAAAATAACTCATAGCAAAAGTAGCGAACTGTATTTGTGAAAATACATAAAAATTCAACTGAAATAAAATAAAATAAAATAACAAATAATCTGATCAAAATAATCTCAAATAAATGCAAAGATGGAATTTTCGAATGGAATGATCGAATTTACGAAACAAATTATTGAATATACGAATGATTTCATATCCATTGTAACAATTGTAAATAGTGAGGAGTCGGGTGTGTGTTGTTCGCTGTTGTCAGGATGTCAGGAGTGGGATTCTTCGAGTCGGGGAAACTCACTTAGCAGAGGAGGTATAGTGATCGTTGATGTACACACATTCAATTAGAATTATGTACAAAGACAGGAAACACGCCAAGATTCAAGGTTGCTTGAATGTTTTAGTAGATAATCTCACCAAGCTAGTTTATCCCTACTAAAATTACTACGGGGAATCACGTAGTATGTATAATATGTAGGCTCTTGGCAGTCAGGCAAGTGTCTCCCTGGCAATTAAGCAGGAGTCTCTCCTTAGCAACCGGGTGTCGCCCTATGTCAGCAGGCAGACACATCCTCACAAAAAAGAGCCGTTGCCTCTTTCCCAGTTTTTTCATGGAGTGCGAATACAGGTCACAGCTTGGGTAATAAAGTCACAGCTTGCCCGGTAATAAAATTTCAAGAATGTACGAAACACCTCCAAATGAGTGTAATTCTAATTTAGTAAGTCAAATTGAAATAAATATAGATTTTATCATTTGTGTGTTAATAGGAACGCATAAATGATTTGAAATGTATTTTTAGCTTTGTGACATTGTATTTGCTTTCCGAAAAAAGAAAATGTCCTCATTTCGAAGGGAGCTATCTATTCTGTTTATTGACAACTAGCTTGCAAACTATTTGTATACATAACAAGCACAAAGAAAAAAATGTCGCATACGATTTGTTTACCACTTCCGTGTGACTGAGATGTTCTAGAACCGTACTGTGTCTGGGTGGAATTTTTAGAAGTTGGTTCAATAGGTAATAGGACACTGTAGAAAGCAATAGAATGTAATGGAACATTCTAGAAATTTGTAGTAAGTTCCAGACTCATTATGTATGCTGATGTAATGGTCTATTTATAGACAGTGTATATAGGGGAGTTGTTCAGCACTGAGATCAGATCGGAGATCTCGTTGAATTGTGTTGGAGTTTAAGTATCTAGTTATTGGAGTAGTGGAGTTTTACCGCGTTATTGTACTTGATGTTTGCAGAGTATAATAATACCAGTACCAGTTGAAACCTCATCTGTTGGCTCCGGGTTCGTATTTTATCATCGCCGCCAGGGAAGTCTTTTTGTTACTGTTGCCATTTTGGTATTTGAACCATCACACCTGTACTATACCAATTACGGTAATATTACGTTGCGTGTGACAAAAAACAAATATCAAGTAGTGATAATACATAACAAAAAATGAGCACAAAATTAGTAAATAGATCGAAATATACAAATATCAGAAAAATTGTGATAAAAATTAGGAATTCGATGAGCACATCAGTTGATATTATAATCATGATAAACTATAAGTTGAAGCAATGGTAATATTTATAAAAAAAATAGAAATTAATAAACAGATTGTTGAGCCTCAGTCTGATATCAACAGCAGGGGGTAGTAGTAGCGTTGCTAGGATCACTGAGATAGAGTTCGTCTGCAATAAAATCAGAGATTGTATAGTTTTATAATCAGCAGTAGGTAATATTTTATAGCCATGACCCGAAGATATATATATATATATATATTTGTTATCACTAATAAACAAGTATTACAATCCACGCAAGGTTTAGGTTGGATCACTGTTAACATAATCATATAGGCAAGGGAAATAACGTTATACTATGTATATACAGTACCTTAGATGATCATAAGTTAGTAGCAGGAGTCAGGTATACATTAAGCTTGCAGAGCCAGGAAAACCAGTCATGGGAAAAAGCAGCAGGGAATAAGTGTCTCCACTAACACTAACTGCTCTTTAAGTTAGATAGGAATATGCAAATACATACCTGATGGTGCCTTCTGATTGGAAGTCAACTAGTCATAACATGTTTGCACCAATCCTAAGGCTTTTTGCAGGGTCATATGATTGTTTGTGAATGGTAACTGGACAGTTATACCATTGTTCACATGCCACATGCATTGTTCTTATTAGCTGTAGAACAAAGTTACCTTTTAGCAGTATAATATGTTTGGCTAAATTTAACAAGACAAAACAAGTATTACAAAGCATGACAAAAGATGTTTGTTCTTGATGACCATGTGTGATAACAGGGTCTTTGATTTAATCTTGACGCTGCAGCACCACAGTGCAGAATCTAGTATAAAACAGAATCCTTTAATAAAGCAACAACTGATTAGTTATTTTATTACCTCAATGATGCTCATAAAACCGGTTTTAAATCAATTTTACAAGACTAAACAATTATTGTAGAGCTTTACAAACACGATTGCTTTTAGTGACCGTGTGTCATAACAGGGTATTTGTTTTAATCTTGTCTCTGCAATACCACAATGCAGAATCTAGTATAAAACAGAAAGCTTAATAAAGAGACAAAGGATTAGTTATTTTAGTATTGAATGTACCTCAATACTGTAGTGTTGTTTGATACCCATGACAAGTTTGTTTAGCATAGAATAAAATTAGAGAATAACTTGGCTCCTGCTAGAGAAATGAGAAATATCATTGTAAATCCGAGTCAAATGTTGGCATTCCACTGCTTTTTAGTAGGGATTTAATATGATTTCTTTTAGGTTTCTGGAGTCTACCAATATGACGAATGTGATTGTTGTCTACATAGACTTGTGAGCTGTCTCATTCAGATCTTTATAATTGACATACTGGTTATGACTGTTAGCAAAATTTAACCATTTGACCAAGTATTGCATCTTTCCTCGATCAAGTTTGGACTTGACTATCTTTTCAATTTGATATTGTTTTGTTTCTGAGGAGACTACAGTTTCAGATGAATCTGTCTCTGAAACCTGTCCACTGCTGCTAGCTACTGGAGAATCAGGATGAAAATTGTTTGTTAAGTTAGGAGGTTCACTGCTGCTAGCCACTGGAGAGTCAGGATGACAATTATTTGTTAAGTTAGGAGGTTCTTCTGCTGTCAACTCTTCGTAAGTAGATCTCATATATTTAAATTTCAGTCTATCAAAGTGGACAATATGTTTAAGTCTTTTGTTGGTTTCAGGTTGAACTAATTGCACAGAGTTGTTAGGCAGTATATATTCAGAGTTTTGTATGGGCCACGAAATCTCCTACTGAATTTATCTCTTTTGGTTGGGTTGGTGATATATACCATGTTATCTAGTTCAAAATGTATAGGATGTACATGTTTAGTATATCTTACAACCATCTTGACCTGATGTTCTTTAGAGCAGTGTCACGTATTTATTGTCTTGCTCTGGAGAGATTACTATAACAAATACAAGCATTCCTAGGATTAGTAATATTTGGCGTGGTGTCCATTTCCAGTGGTATTTTGATGTCAAATACATACAAGATTTGAGATGGAGCCAGTCCAGTGCTTTCATGACTCGTAATCCTATATGAAAGTAAAGAAAATGGAAGAAACTTATCCCACATGGTTGGATGAGAATGAAATTGTCTGCTTAAACTGGTTAGAATAGTTTGAACTTGTCTTTCTGTTATGCCTTGGCCTCTAGGACGTACAGCACAGCTGGGTCTCTTGTTGACATTAAAAATTCTGCAGACATGAAAGATTACATCCGCCCATAGATTTGAAGCACAGTCAGTGTGAATTTCTGTAATCACTCCAACCATACAGAACAGATCCACTAATTTGTAGGCTATTGTCTTTGCTTTGCTATCTGGAAGTGGATATGCAATAGGAAATTTTGAGAATGAATCTATGATTAACAGAATATATTTCATGCCATCTGCTGAAGTAGGATATGGGCCCATTAGATCTGCACACACCCTATAGTTATAAGCATGCTTGTGCATTTTCTCCCAAAAATATTTGTCTCGTAGTAGCCCATATGTACGGGCATAGCCCATATGGTTAGCACCCAATTTTGAATTGTGCATATGACTGTAATGATTTAGGTACAACTAGTTGTTTCTTGACACCCAGCACTCTTTGCTTTACCCACAAGGTTCGCCATCCTGTAAAAAATATGGTCTATTATTACATAGAAATCAGATTGATGCAAAATCTTTCTAGCTAGTTTTGTATCTTGAGGTAAAATTTAATTCTCATGAAAATAAATAAAGGTTGTAGGTCTGTATCTTGTCTTTGCTTCTGTGCAATAGATTTAAAAATGTATTCATTTTCATGATCAGATGGGTCAGAATTGACAGCTGGGCTTACCAATTCTTCTGGGGAGAGTTTTGGTCATATACACTGTCACCTTGTTCAGATTGAGAGCTGTGAGTCAATACGCACATTTCATCTATAAGTTGAGAGTCAAATGATGCAAGTTTAGGTGTGGTCTCTGGATTTGACAATTTGAATGCGTTAATATCATAGCCAAGACAATTTAGGACGTATATCTGGGAGTAGTACTTACCAGTCTTCTTTTTGGTGTTTCTCCTTTTGGAACAATCTGTGTTTCAGTGTCACTGTGGTCTCTATCATACTCTGAGCAATGAGGTGTTTCACTTTTATATGCATTTGGATCAAAATTGGAAGTTACAACATCTTCAAAGCTATTTGTTTTGTATAGTCTATCGGAAGGTAGATCAGTGGAGGTTAGTGTAATTTGTTGAATGCTTTGTTCTGTCATGGTTATTGGGTCGGTTTGGCAGCTTTGATGTAAAAAGAGTTTTCCAACTAGAATCTGCTGCGCCATCAGCATTGTCTGAGATATCGGAATTTACAAGTATCCCTTCTCCATCAGCATATGTTCTTCTGCTGAGACAATCAGGTTGATTCATTTACACATCTTTCTTATAAATCAGCTGAAAATTGTACTGTTGTAGGGCTAAAATCCAACGACATAATCTATACTCTACAAACCATGTGTGTGACTTAGTAAATTCATGTAGAGAACTGGCAATAGAAAACAATTTAAAATAGATCTGCGATAGTAGCCAGCTATGCCAAGAAATCGTCACGAACAGTTTTAGGAATAGGAAAATCTGATATAGCAGCAATGTTAGTGGGTGAGGGTGATATGCCCTTATAGTTTAGAGTGTGACCAAGATACACAATTTGACGTCTGGCAAATAGACACTTTTCTGGTCGAAGCTTCAGACCTGCTTTTCCGAGGGTTTCAAGTACTTGAGAGATGTGTTTGAGATGAGTCTGAAAGTCTTTGCTATATATCATAATATCATCAACATAAATTATGAGATTACAGTGTTTTACTGAATAGAGCAGAATGTTCTTTGGAATTGGCTAGTGTTATTTATAAAACCCATAGGACATCTACAGTACTGATAAATGCTATTGTGGGGTTTAAATGCTGTGAGATGTATGTCAGCTTCATGCATCTCTGGTTGGTGAAAACCAGATTGAATATCCAGTATGGTAAAATATTGTGGATTTGTTGTTCTCACTGCTTCCAAACATTCAGTGATTTTTGGCAAAGGGAAAACATCAGGAACAACTTGTGAGTTAAGGCCACGCAAGTCACAAGTAATTCTACTCTTACAGTTAGGCTTTCTTACCAATACTAATGGTGCACCACATGCTGACACAGATAGCTCTATCAGATCTTGATTCAACATGTCTTGGATTTGCTCATACAGAATGCTTCGTTGATGTGGCGATAGTTTGTAAGGCGCCTTATTCACAGGGACTGCTCCATGTTTTAGATGAATCGTATGAAAGAAAAGATCACAGAAACCTACACGGCCATTAATACCAACAAATGAATCACTATGCTTAGCGATTACCTTGATAAGTTGGTTTCAGGTTTCAGTCTCATCCCCCTCTGAATTAATTAAATCAATTTTTGACAGAATATGAGAAATGATTGTGTTCTTGGTTGAGGTAGAAGGATGTGTGTCCTGTTCACTATTCACATTGATATTTTAAATGACAGTGTCAGATGGAAGTGGCCGAAAAATGCCAATAGTGGTGTTGCGCTTTATCTGAATATTCTTTGTTGTCTTTTGTGGTAGCCAATACTTTACCTGCAACAAATCCATTTGCTTTAGAACTAGAAACAGAATTTGTAGTACCTATTAGGTTATCAGGAAGTTCTGCTCGTAGACAGGCAATGCGTAAACATTCTGTTAAAAGGGGAAGGGTGAAATCTTCCTCCTGAAGAAAGAATGTGGTTAGAGTAAATTTTTCTAGTACCAAAGTCTATACTTTATGCGAGCTCAAGAAATCCTGACCTAAAATTATATTTTGCCTCAACTGTGGCATAATGTGTAGTTTGAGTTTAACATTTTGTTTACCTATGTGTGCTCCAATATTTATCATACCATCTATACGCAACTGATCCCTATTTGCATTTGAAATTCTATTTTGAAGCAATACATCGTTTAAATTGTTTTACATTGGGTATAAGATCAGGTAACTTACCATTTGTACAGCTCACAGCAGCTCCAAAGTCAGTCAGACACTGTACATCATGTCAAAGTATAGTGACTTGAACTAAGTTATCATAATGTATCTGGTGTCCATCATTATTTATAGATTGTGTAAGGGTTTGTTAATTTCAGCAGATTTGCAGTAGATTTGTACCATTGTAAGGGACTTCAGTGTGTAAGTGTGATTGACCTTGCAGGGTACTTTTATCCAATCTGCAGTAGTGACTAAGGTCCACAATATGTACACTTTTTGCCACTTTGGTAGTTGCGACATGTATTAATAGTGTGGTCTTTACCACGACAGGCAGTACACACAACTGTGTCATATTGTTATTGTTGATAAACATGATGTCATTCTGTCTTGTATTTAGGGTGAGAAGTAGAATGATCATGTGGTGTGTGTTGAATTACACGTGGGTGAGGGGTAGCACCAGTCTGCTTATAAGGGTTAATACTAACCTGATTATAGAATTGTTGGGTGTCCTGCGTCCTTCCATAAGAACTAGCTGGGTGTGATTTCAGAATGTAAGCGTTGTATCAGCACATTATCTGAATGACAATAATCATATGAGGTTTTTATTTGATTTTTAGTTCTAAATTTTCAGATAGTAATTGTTGCACTAGGCCAGATGTGTCATTGCTATTATTTGAAGCACAAACAGTAGTGGAGTTATTGTTTGTGTTCAATAATGCAACATCTTTTTTTAATTTCTGGGTTAGCATAGCAATGGATGTTTGTAACGAATTAGTAGGGTTATCACTTTTGGAATTAGACATTAATTCAACTCGTCGACACATTTCCAATGTTGCCTTCATTGTTGCCAGTTTATCATCTTGCATAATCAATTGAGGCTCATATTTTTCACTGAGACCGGCTTTAAAAATTGGTAATATATCTTCGTTTGGAAGATTTGCCTTAGGGATTTTGCTTGACTGTTGTCTAGCACATTCATCAGCTGACTGTGTGAGAGCTTGTTGCATGCCTCTTAATTTGCGTGCAACCATCGCTGGAAGCGAATTTATTGTGAATTGTTCCTTGAACTCAGCTGTCAAAACTGTCATATTGGCTTTGGATTCATCGTCTAATCCAGCAAACCAATCTTTTGCAATGCGTGACATTACTAAAGGAAACAATTTTATCTGTTGTTCATCTGATCATCCGTTAATTGCAGTATAGTGGCGAAAATCAATGATCCACGACGCTGGATTGCAGTAACGAAGGCCGAACTGTGTTGGAGAAAAGGATGTACCTTTGACCACTACGCAAGTCCTCGATCGCTAGATTGTTCTGTGGACTGTTGTTGCAGAGTTGTCAAATGCCCGTTTAACACGTTCAGGGTTGCTAAACTTTCAGTTAAATTCTGGAGTTGGGATTAGATTTCCTCGCTGACTTCTCGTGGTGGTGCCATTGTATTTTATTTTGGTTCAACTGAAGCGGTCTGTGAGCGTGTTTGTATTTTAGTAAAGCCAGTTGCCATATGCAACTGTGAGCGATTAATTAAGTAAAAGCGATTTAATAATTTTTTTCTTTGTCTTACCTCAGTTCTTCAAACACTTACCGTTTAGAGCTTGTTCAAATTTGGATTCTCCACCATGTCACAATTGTAAATGTAGTGAGGATTAGGGTGTGTGTTGTTCGCTGTGGTCAGGATATCGGGAGTGGGATTCTTCGAGTCTGGGAAACTCACCCATTCAATTAGAATTATGTACAGAGACAGGAAACACGCCAAGATGTAAAAGGTTGCTTAAAGGTTTTTAGTATATAATCTCACCAATCTAGTTTGTCCCTACTAAAATTTGAGGTGCAGGCTCTTGACAGTCAGGCAGGTGTCTCCCTGGCAATTAGGCAGGAGTCTCTCCTTAGCAACCGAGTGTCACCTTATATCAGCAGACAGACACTCACAAACAAGAGCCGTTGACACTTTCCCAGTTTTTCCATGGAGTGTGAATACAGGTCACAGCTTGGGTAATAAAATCACAGCTTGCCCGGTAATAAATTTTCAAGAATGTATGAAACATCTCCAAACGAGTGTAATTCTGATTTAGTAAGTCAAATTGAATTGAAAAAGTATAGATTTTATCATTTTAGCTTTGTGACACCATGTTAAATGTGTCTCAGAAGTCAACTAACGGCGCAGACATGAATTATCAGGCATGCCGTTTTCAACAAAACGTCAAGGAAGCGTTTTGCACAATACAATTATATTGGCTAAACTTACAGAACTGGCTTGGAATATACTGACTATCAAAATAGTCGCAAGTCAGTCGTCAAGTCACTTTTTACGAAAAGTGAAAAAAAAACATCAACATTATATATATTTGAAGATGCCATCCCGAAATGATCAAACCTATGATAAAACCTTCCAAAATGCATATATATACCAAATATCACAGCAACAGTTTTCAAGAAAGTCGAAAATGACAGTTTTTGATACGAAGACGACGGCAGAGCTAAAAATGCACTTATGCCTAAAAAACGGAGTGCAAAATCCCGTCTTTTTGGCAATCATTTA